TCTACGCCACAAAATACATAAATTTTGTTCGAAACTTTTTTTTTTATTCGTGATAGATGGCGCTGTAATCGCAAAAAATTATATTTTCCGCAATTCTCCAGAAATGATCATTGGATTGAGAAATAAAAAATACCTGTTCAATATTTTTAAAGAACATAATAAAAGTTATTCCCCCCCCTCCATCCTCTCGGGGTAGGGTGGGTGGTAACGTTCAAATCTCAAATGAGAACCCGTTGGGACGTTTGACAAAGTATATGGTTTCAGCATGACGGTTGCCCAGCGCATAACTCAATAGCAGCACGGGAAGTATTAGATCGTGATTACAATGGTCGGTGGATTGGCAGAGGTGGCCCGATTAATTGGCCTGCTAGGTCGCCTGATTTGACATTGCCGAATTTCTTTCTGAGGGGTTACCTAAAAGATAAGGTTTATCAACAAGTGCCAACTCGTGAAAACATGGTAGAACGCATAAGAACGCTTGCGCTGAAACTCCCGCAGATATGCTTCTATCCTGTGTACAGTCACTTGAAAAAAGGATCAATAAGTGTATTGAAGTTGAAGGTAAAAATTTCGAACACTTACTCTAATTAATTGAACAGTGAGAGGTAAGGGGATTCACATTAAAAAAGCACCCCGATCTGTGAGAGGCAAGGGGACTCACATTAAAAAAGCACCCGAAGGGAACATAAAACTACTACGTCCTCGTCGTTGTTCCTGTGTAACGCTAAAAGTAGTTTCTTGGAAAAATTCAACGCTATCTATCACGAATGAAAAAAATTGTTTCAATAAAAATTTCACGTACAATCTAATTCTGCAATGAAAAATGTGGGCCCCCATTTGAGATTTGAACGTTATTACCCACCCTATCCCGAGAGGATGGGGGGCGGAATAACTTTTATTATGTTCTTTAAAAATATTGAACAGGTATTTTTTATTTCTCAATCCAATGATCATTTCTGGAGAATTGCGGAAAATATAATTTTTTGCGATTACAGCGTCATCTATCACGAATAAAAAAAAAGTTTCGGACAAAATTTACGTATTTTGTGACGTAGAATCCGTATCTGCAATAAAAAATGGGGGTTTCTATTTAAGATTTCAAAGTTGCCCCCAACCCCCACCCCCAGGGGGTGGGGTGGGAGGTCGAGTTTGATATCATTGGATGTCCCCCTTCGAGACTAACAATTTTCATTAATCACTTTTTTTTATCCAATGCATAGTTCTCGAGATATTTCAATGTCTTCAGATAAATCGTGCACCCTGTATATTGTGTCTGTAGTCTATTCATACTTTTGCAGAAGCGATGTTTTGTAGAAACATGGATGAAATGCAGTATATAAGACTTTTAAATATTTCTGTATCGTTCTTCCCAATCTCCAATTCCTATCGAATTTTCCAACGTGAGAAAATTAACAATTAAGGAATTATGCAAAATCAGGTTATATGTTGTATTATTTATCTTTTTAAATATTACTCTTATTTAAATATTATTCTGCTTTATTCCGTAATATTTATTTCTCAGTTTCATTTTTTAAACATCTTTTTTAATTCAATGAGGCTCGAGTCCTATCGGTAAACGGTCGATAAACTGTCATAACGTACAAAGTTAATTGCATTTGTCATAACTGGAAACACGGCAAATATCATTATCAACAGAGGCAACGAGTGACTTTTTCGGAAACCTCTGCATTATCATCCGAATAGGAGCAAGCAACCCGTCACATTGACCTGTATGTTGCTGTTACACTCTACGTGTCCATTCGAATCAAGCCAGCTGCGCTCGCAGATATATGAGATGTCATTTCGTCTCCGGAATGATGAAATCTTGTTTTTCTCCCGCGCATAGAACGCGGCTCGATCCCGAGACGTTCGTTGTTGTCGCGCGCGCCGCGGGATCGAAATCCTGCGAGAGCGAGAAAGTTCTGACGTAATTCGCAGCCACCGTTGCCGCCGCCGTCGGCCAAGCGCTAATTAGACAATTGTGTAACGAAAACACCGCGCTCACGGGCGCGCATCGATCGCATCACGAAGAGGGGGAGGGGGAAGGGGGAGATTGTTGTTCCACGTCGGTACATAACATGCGCGGATTCATAATCCCGCTGCGCTTGTTCTGGCTGTTAAAGCCGCGATTCAAGCGGAGACGCGCGTGCGCGCAGCGTTAATTACATAGGAAAAGGAAATCCATCTGTATTTCCTGTACTTTTTTCCCGCGCCCGCCCGCGGAAGGTGAACCGCGAAAGGCAGAGCGTGACCGCCTCCAGGATACGTGACATTCTCGTCGCGTGGCCCATGAAATCGCGCGGATTGCTTGGAAAGCGCACGCGGAGACCCATCGTCGACGATCGAGAAAACACGCAGCGTCGCCCGTTACCTCGGAATTCGATCGAGCGACTTAGGCGCCAACGATAAAATCTCACTCACGCCGATAATTAACGAATCGCTGCGGCGAGGGGGGACAAACCCGCTTCGCGGCCGCGGTGGAAAGTCGCGGAAGAAAGCTCGTCTAGCAACAACACTCGAGCGTCGACAAGAGCTCACGCGCTTTAATCGCTTCCTCGACTATCGCGCGGAGGGGAGAGAGAGACGAAAGAGACAGACAGACAGACAGAGAGAGAGAGAGAGAGAGAGAAGAGCCGGGACGAGTGGAAATAAAAAGGAGACGCGGGATGCTATCGTTTCCCTATCGGAATCAACGACGCGTATAAAATGCGGCCCGATTGTCGCCGCGCAAAAGTACGACTCGCACGCGCTCGCGAGCCTCGGGAGAGCGCATGGAGATAAGAAGATATGGAGGGAGCATATGTGAGCACCGAGAATGAAGAGTATGATTCCTAAGACGTAAGGGGAATCAGTTGTCGCCATTTTGAATAGGAACACTCATTCATTGGTTATTACTGAGAAAAAAGAGTAGTTGCCTAGCAACACTAATCCATTCAAATATAAAACAAGAAAAAATAAAACAGTTAAAAAATTAATAAAATTTGCAAAGAATAGTGTATATATGTGTGTACGTAGACACATATATACAGATTACTTATATAGGGTGCTAAATTTCAAATATAACAGGTAAAAAATCTCGAAAACTATGAAAGATATTAAAAAAAGCTAAAAGACGTGTTCTATGATTTCGAGAGGGAAAGAGAATGGTATTATCAGTTTTTTATTTGGAGGGTATTTTCAAGGTCAGTTGAAGGTCAACTTAATTTTCTAAAATAGAAAGCCCAATTTTTTATTATATCTTCTTTTTCTACCAATTAATTTTAACAACTTTTGTCTGAAACATTTTTTTATTTGCCTAATATTTTTTTAAATATTTAAGGAAAACTTGGTAACTTTTTCAACTTTTAACTTACGATATCTCGCTAACTATTCGTCGAAAGAAAAAATAGTAACTTAATAAATAGTAATTTAATAATTTTGAAATTTCCAAAGGTCGATAAGTTAACAAAAGTTAGAGCACTATTATAGTAATATATTTTTGATAGTAAATAAAGTAAAAAAGTCTAATACTATTTTTTCTTTCGACAAATAGTCCGCGAGATATCGTAAGTTAAATGTGGAAAAGGTTATCAAGTTTTCCTTAAATATTTAAAAAAATATTAGGCAAATAAAAAAATGTTCAGACAAAAGTTGTTAAAATTAATTGGTAAAAAAGAAGATATAATAAAAAATTGGGCTTTCTATTTAAAAAATTAAGTTGACCTTCAACTAACCTTGAAAATGCCCTTCAAATAAAAAACTGATAATGCCATTCTCTTTCCCCCTCGAAATCGTAGAACACGTGTTTTAGTTTTTAATATCTTTCATAGTTTTCGAGATTTTTTACCTGTTACGTTTGAAATTTCGTACTCTGTAGTAGAAGAAACGTAACACTATATTGAAAGATATCTGAATGAATTTGTATTTTTACAAGTATTAAATAAATAATTATTAATTTACAATAATATTCCATAAGATTATTCATGTTACGTATGTTTTTTGTAATCCCCTCACTCTTGCTTTTTCCACCGTCTGAAGTTTTCCGTCTCGTTTTAAGTATAAAAAGTGTGAAAAGTACAACCAATACTAATAGACTTAAGATTGCGTTCCGATATTCACTGCCAGTACTGAAAATTTATTTCGTGTCACTATAGATACTATTATATATACTATAGAGATATATACTATAGAGATTTAGTACTGACAGTTAATATCGGAACGCAGCCTAAGTATCCACCAATAAAAATATCTTCCTAAGCAAGATGGCCGTGATTGAATCGCCCTTACGTCTTAAGAAGCAGGGTTTGTATCTATGCTCATTCCATATTTTCTTACCTCCATGGGAGAGCGCGAGAGAGAATTCGCCGCTCTCGAGTCGATCTCGGCGGATTTTCGAGTTGTTCCCGTCGCGATTCCGTTCGTCGAGGAGTCCCTTCGCGAGAGCTTCCGCCGCGGTGAACCGGAATTCGCGAGAAGCGAAACGCGAGAAAAAGGAAACGGAAGAGAAGAGAGTCCAAGAGAGAAAGAGAGAGAGAGAGACGAAAAGAGAAAAGAGCTCTCGCTTTCCGCACGCGCGGCGCATTTTACGCGGCAACGATTATTCTTATTCCGCGCACACGCCGATATGTAGCCGGGTCCTGGTCCCGCCGCCAGGGACAATGCCATTGCCATAGTGAAACAGTGAAAGTATGGTCATTTTGCGCGCGCGTTTCTGCTCTTCCCGTTCCCCCCTCCCACCTCCCTCCTCGCACGCACGCACGTACGGCGCGCGACGCACGCGTGGACGGTTTTCGCGCGCTATCGCGATAGTCTCGTTTTGAATGCTGCGCCTCTCGAAGCTTCTCTACTCTCGGACTGACCGCGGCGCGCGCTCGGTGAAATTATTACCCAGCGCGCACCGAAGACGAAAGGTAACGCGCTCTCGGTTTCCACCGCGCGGTGACATCAACGTCCGTTGAGTAATGACGATCGGGTTGAACAGTGCGCGCCTCATCTGCGACGCTCGCGATTCTTCTTCGCAGCGCGATGCGGCTTCTCCTCGGGAGCATCATCTGCCTCTTGTCGGCAGCTAGCGCGAGGACCGCGATAATGCCGCCGCCCTGGGCCGACCCGTCGAGCAACCCTTGCGCCGCGCAACCACGTGGCTGGCAGCTGCTATATTGGCCGGCCGACGGCAAGTGCTACAAGATATTCCAGGCAGGTGCCCGATTCTCTTTCTCTTTCTCTCCTTTTCTTTTTCTTTTCTTTTTCTATTGGGTTGGCAACTAAGTAATTGCGGATTTCATTGGTAGATGGCGTTAGTTTGAATTTTTTAAGTATATTTACGTATTCGAAATGTCAAACCCATATTGTTATTTGATAGTTGGTACTTCAATTGGCAGTCAGTACACAAAATTGTATCGATCGGTTGTGTAGTTTTCATTTGGCGTCGGTTGAAAAATGGGAAAGTAAAACGAGCATTTTCGTCATATTTTGCTTTTTTACTCCTCCAAAGGAAAAAAACATCGCAAGCTCACAAAAAGTTGTGTGCTGTATATAGTGACGAAGCCTTAAAAGAACATCAAAATTAGTTTGCTAAATTTCGTTCTGGTGATTTTCCACTCAAAGATGAATAACACTTTGGCCGTCCAAGTGAAGTTGATGACGACCAAATCAAAGCAATAATCGATGCGAATCGTCATAGCACAACACGTGAGATTGCAGAGAAGCTTGATGTTCGACGAATTTTACTTTTTAACCGATTTCTATAAAACTTTAAATCCAGGGGTTTTCTGGGTCGCTGATTACGAATCTGTTCAGATTTTCGAAATTCAAAATGGTGAATCCAATATTGCGGACGTAAAATTCAAAATTCAACCAATTTTCGTGAAACCAGATATTTAGGGGTTTTTAATGTCGCTGATTACAAATCCGTTGTCAGATTTTTGAAACTCAAAATGGCGTAGAAATTTGGGTTTTTTAAAATTCTCGTTTCGCTGTATTGAGTCAGCCATCGTGAATTTTGAAAATCTGATGATGGATTCATAATTAGTGACCCACTCAATACCACTCAAAACCACTCAATACCAATTTTTCTAGAAATTGAAGTTTTTTTTAAGTTTTCCGCCCGACATATTGGATTGGTCACCTTGAATTTTGAAAATCTGATGATGGATTCGTAATCAACGACAGAAGGAAACCCTAGATACTTAGTTTCACGGAAATTGGTTGAATTTTTAATTGTATGTCCGCCATATTGGATCCGCCATTTTGAATTTCTAAAATCTGACAACGGATTCGTAATCAGCGCCCCAAAAAAATCCCTGTGTATTAATTCCCAGATAAAAATAGTTAATTTTCCCCTTGCCATCCATTTATTTTTAAAAACATTTTATTGTGTTTACTTATTTACTATTAATAAATTTTAAGAATTTATAAGTAACCACAATTATTCTATACTAGTTAGGGTCTTAAGAAGCTAGAAAATATAATTGCTAAGAAATCGATCATTAAAACTGTTCATAAAACATCTCTGGGTGTCCGCCTGCGCCACAAAGAGTTAATACAACGCATTGCCATCTGCGATTTGCTTATGAAACTTAACGAAAATGATCCATTTTTTAAACGATTGATAACTGGCGATGAAAAACGGGTTGTTTTTAACAATGTCAATCAAAAAAGATCGTGGAGTAAACAAGATGAACCAGCGCAAACATCCAAAGCTGATTCATCAAAAGAAAGTTATATTATCAGTTTAGTGGAATTACAAAGGAATTGTCTACTTTGAAATTTTACCACGCAACCAGACAATCAATTCAAATGTATACATTCAACAACTAACCAAACTAAATAATACAATTCAAGAAAAGCGACCGGAATTGGCAAATCGAAGAGGTATTGAGTTCCACCATGACAATGCAAGACCACACACACATCTTTGATCACTCGGCAAAAATTATTCGAGCTTGGTTGGGATGTGTTGTTATATACAGTCCTTGCTATATACAGTCCTTATATATATAGACCTTGCACCATCATATTATTTATTTCGTTCTTTGCAAAGCTTCTTGAATGGTAAAAATTTCAATAATGATAATGATCGCACTTGGTTCAGTTTTTTGCCGATAAAAACCATAAGTTTTATGAACGTGGAATTATGATGCTGCTTGAAAGATGGCAAAAGGTCATTGATAAAAATGGACGATACATTATTGCATAAAGTTATTTCGTTCCATGAAAAAATTGTCTTTTATTTTCTTAAAAAAATCCGCAATTACTTAGTTGCCAAATCAATATATTTCCCTTTTCCTAGCAAGATCACACGATTGTACCAACAGACTCGCGTGATTTCTGACAGCGACGCCGTCTCTTGCAGATTGGCGCTCCTTGCCCGGAAACGATGGAGCTGGGTCCCGCGGCCGGAGGCGGTGGGACGATTGCGGAATGCAGGTGTCCTCCGGGGACCGCGCAGTCACCCCGGGACGCCCTGTGCCATTCGATATTCACGAGAGCGTCCTGCGCGAAGGGTCAGTTCTTCGCGCCGGTGCCGGACGCGCCTGGCAGATTAGGGTGAGAAAAACGGCTCCCCCCCTCGAGCAGTGTCGTTGAGCCAATATTAATAGTCGTTGATCGATTAAAATTTTCAGTTAAGTGTAAGTTTGTCGGCGAGCCTAATGTCACGTATTAGGAGGTTGAATTAGTTCCCAGCAATAGATGGCTTTGGTAACAATGATTAGTACGAATGTTGAAATCTGGCAACACTGAAAGATTTGACAATTCTCTATGACATATGATAATTTACGCGCTATTGATAGTTGATAGATAGTGTTTCATTGTTTATACGTGTCTAAAATGGATACAAAATTGCATTTTCGACATTCATTACTTTTTCGTTTGATTTGAATAAATCGGCAACTGAAGCTTATGAAATGCTTGTTATAACTTATGGTGATCAAGTTCCATCGTATTCCAAATGTAAATTTTGGTTTCAACGATTCAAAAGTGGTGATTTCGATTTGAGTGACAAAGAACGTACTGGTCAACCAAAAAAATTCGAAGATTCTGAATTACAAGCATTATTAAACGAAAACACTGCTTAAACGAAGAAACAATTGGCTGAACAACTCAACATTAATAAATCAATTTCTAAACGCCTACATGCCATGGGAAAAATTCAAAAGGAAGGCAAATGGGTTCCACATGAATTGAGTGAAAGTGCCATTGCAAATCGTTTGAATATCGCTATATCTTTGCTTATCAGACAGAAAAAAGAATTTTTTGTGGCGAGTTATAACTGGAGATAAAAAGTGGATTTATCTTGATAATCCAAAACGAAAAAAACATAGGTTGATCCAGGACAACTATCAACTTCGACACCAAAACGGAATATTCACGGCCACAAAACAATGCTCTACATTTGGTGGAGTATGGAAGATGTGTACCACGAGCTTCTAAAACTGAATGAAACAGTTACAGTGGAGCGATACCAGCAACAATTGAATGATGAACAAATTCAATGATAAATTGATGCAAAAAAGGCCAGCGTTAGCCAGCAATAGACGCAAAGTGATTCTTTTGCACGACAATGCTCATCCACATGTTGCTTCAATCGTTAACCAAATATTATTAGAGCTCGAATGGAAAATCCTTCCGCAGCCAGTGTACTCTCCAGACCTATCCACCTTTAGCATCATCTGATTACTATTTATTTCGACCGATACACCACGCTTTGGCAGATATACACTTCAATAATTACGAGGATGGGCAAAAATGGGTGTCCGATTTGGTTGCTTCGAAAGACAGATCGTTCTATCGCGAAATCACTTTGTTGCCGGAAAGATGGGAAAAACAGCTAACAATGGAAAATATTTTGATTGATGTAAAGGGCCCTGCACAGATCTTATAGGAATGTGCCCTCGGTTAAATTGGATGGAATTGAAGTATGTTATGGTCTTCGACGTCTCGAACGAAAGTTTTAATAGGCACGACTCCCTAAATTCAATAATTTTCCGTCCAAAGAGGTTTAAAGTAGCAACCTCTCAATGAAAACCTACAGTTGTACCATGCTTTTTCTCGAAACAAATATATGAATCTCTCTCTCTCTCTCCCTCTCCCTCCCTCCCTCCCTCCCTCCCTCCCTCCCTCCCTCTCTCTCTCTCTCTCCCTCTCCCTCTCCCTCTCTCTCTCTCTCTCTCTCTCTCTCTCTCTATATATATATATATATATATATATATATATATATATATATATATATATATATATAGAGAGTGTTCCAAAAGTAACGGACCACCCTAATAACTCTTCAGTTTAAGTTTCAAGGAAAATGATTTAAATAAAAGTTGTAGGGATTTAAGTGAGCTACCTTATGATAACCTTGACTTTGACCTTGACCTCTATTTTCAAGATCATTTGAAGGTCAACTTGCGTTTTTTACATGGGAACACTTATTTTTTATTACACTATTTTTTCTACTAGTTAATTTGAACAATTTTTGTCTAAAACATTTTTTTATTTGTCTAATATTTTTTGAGATATTTGAGGAAAACTTAATAACTTTTTCAATATTTAACTTACGATATCTCGCTAACTATTTGTCGGGAGAAAAAGTAGTACTAGACTTTCTTGCTTTATTTAGTCTCAAGAAAATATTGTTACAATAGCGCCCTGATTTTTGTTAATTTGATAATTTTGAAATTTCCAAAAGTCAGTAAGTCAACAAAAGTTAGGGAATTATTATAACAATATGTTCTTGAGACCAAAGAGAGTAAAAAAGTTTAGTATCATTTTTTCTTCTGACAAATAGCGAGATATCGTAAGTTAAGTATTAAGTATTAAAAAAGTCATGAGGTTTCCCTTAAATATCTCAAAAAATATTAAGTAAACAAAAAAATGTTTCAGACAAAAATTATTCAAATTAATTAGTAGGAAAAGATGATATAATAAAAAATGGGAGTTTCTGTTTAAAAAAATAAGTTGACCTTAACCTGACCTTGGCAACACCATTCAAGGTCAAACTGATAAAATCAATAAATACATCGTTTTAAGCCTTATAAGCCTTTTGTCTGAAACACTTTTCTGTAAAACATATCTTTCGAGATTTTTCGATCTTTTTTCCTCACCCTGTATGTATGTCTGTTCTTCTCACATGAACCTCTCCAAAAAATTCTCCTCAGATCGAGATGGCGGTGGGGAGTCTGCCGCGACCCCGAGCCTTGCGGTGAGCAAAATGAGATTTACTGGCCCAAGGACGACAAATGCTACCCGAAGCTCAGCAGAGGACCTTGCCCACGCGGAGAACTCCTCGTCACCGGCGAAGACGGCTTAGCGACCTGTTCATGCTCGACGAACGGCGAGCTGGGCAGATACCATTGGCTGGGAAACGGCGGCGGCTGTCACGAACACTACACGAAGGGCCCGTGCTCGGAGCCGGGAGAGCTGTTTCTCCCGGGCGGGACGTGCGGCTGCCACTCTCAACTACCTCATTATCATGAACCAAGCGGAATGTGCTACCAGCTAGGTGAATTACTCCGGCTCGTTTTAACAATCATCACTTGAAACTTGTGAGATGCTCAGATCTTAGTTAAATGCGAGCTTTTCAGTTGAATCGCGACTGCGAGCATAATATTATGTTTGAATATCGTGACTCAACTAAACAATTCAGATTTTTATCCATCTTCAGATATAAGTATCTCACGTGAGACAAATTTCAAGTATAACTACTGTTAACAGGAGCTTCCTTGAGTTGTTTTTCAAAATTGATCTAAGCTGAAGAAACTATGAATCTAACGTTTAATTGGGTCTTTAGGTGGCGTTGGCCCATGTCCACAGGGACATCACTTCGTGGTCACCATGGATGCTCAGTCGAGCACGCAGGAGGATGTGGTGCGTGCAGAATGCGTCTGCAAGCCGGGCCACGCGTTGTATAGAAACGGGTTCTGCTACAGACTGCACACAAGAGGACCCTGCGAAAACGGCTACATGCTGATCAACTCATCCACCTGCGTGCCGGTACCATGCAAACGTGGCAGACTATATTTCCCGCAAGAGAGAACTTGCTACAAGATCGGCACGAGAGGACCGTGTCCAAACGGACAGATTGTGCTGTACGACCACAACGTGAGGCCGTCTCTCGACGGGATCAGCTACAACGGAGTGTGCGGCTGTACCAACGTCATGAGGAACGCCGGTAGATGCATAGAGGATGAAAGTGACGACTGCGAGAGCACGCCCGGCATGGTGATGTTCAACCAGACTTGCTACAAACTGTACACTCAGGGCCCCTGCACCGCGGGCGAGTGGTTAGTCGCGCAGAGAACGCCGAAGAACCGGCTCTGGCAAAAGGAAGAGCCACGGCCGAAGGCTAGGTGCGAATGTCGACCTGGTTACAAGAAAGTCGCCAACACGGAGGCGTCGGAGGAGCTGGAGAGTAACAGTCTGATCTCGCCGAACGGCTGCCAGCCGCCCGTGGTGAGCTTGGCGAAGTTTCTCAACGAGAACGTCAAGTCGACGGTGATCTGAAGCAATTCAACGGACCGGTTGCGCTTAGCATAGGATGTTGGACATTTGTCATCTCATGTTTCACACGATGTACACTTGTTTCGTTCTCGCATTTCCACGTGACAAGCGTGTATAATGTGTTCGAATGGCGATTGAATCGCAAGACCTGCCGGTAACGGACTCAATCTCGTACATAACGTCGTTGGGATTACTGTTTTAAATTTGATTATCGCGCTCTTGCTTAAGCGATGGCGGTATTCACAGTCGGATATTATATTCAAGACTGTCTGAAATTTCTTCAGATACTTCGTAGCCAATAAAGTCCTACAGCATCTGAAGACGAACTTAAGACGGACTTGAACACATAGAGAATCCGATTATAAAATACGCTCTGAGATAGTTATTTATTAACTTATTAAGTAACTCAGTGAAACCTGAAGTCTCCCGAGAGACGCGTGCCACTTATCTTTTACGAGTCACCGTGCGTTGTCGATATAGCAGACGTGCTTACTCGTTTTTATGCTGTAAGTCGCGAACCTGCTGCTGCATCCCTTCCGTTTGCTGGTCCTTGTGCACCAGTTCCCGCTCCAACGCGGCGATCCTCTCTGTCTTCTCGTCCAAAGCCATCTGTAAGAATAATCGAATACAAGATATTTTGTGAAAGTAACTCTTGTTGAAGAGGGCGTTGCGTTTGTCGTGCTAGTCCCGCTCACCAACAATCGATCCTTCTCTTGGTCCAGGAGTGTCATACTCGAGCGCAGAGTATTAATTTCCTGCTTCAGTTCCTTGATCTGATCATTCAGCTGAGCCTGTTGCTGTTCCATACTTCTATTAAGATCGATAGCTTTATTCAGCTCCGACTCCGCTTGCGACAATTGGCCCTGAGCGTCTCCGAGCGCTTGGTCAGTTTGATCCTGCAGAGTTCTGCAATGAGGAGAATCCAGAGCAGGCGGCATTAGTACACATCTCAGCTGTGGTAGTGAAATCAAACGTGTTACCGTAGTTGAAAATATTGCGTTCGCTGCGTCATCAAATCCTGCTTGGTGCGGCGTAATTCTTCCTGCACGTCGTCCAACTGATCCTCTAGACCGTTTATCGCCGCTCTCCTGGTTCCCTGAGTAACCAACAGATCTTGTCGTTCTTTCTCTATATGCTTGAGTCGATTCTCTGCCTCGACTAAGCTCTCCTTGAGACGAAATTGCTCGTTCGTGTGAGCTTCCGCCATCATCTACAATACGTCATCCACAATCATGCATTCACGACATACAGGGTGAGGCACATAAAACAGGCCACTTGAATAACTTTGAAAATATGCAAGATAGAAAAAAAGTATTAAATACAGAAGTTGTAGAGTTTCAAGTGATCAATCATCAATGGCAATATTAGTATAGCCTTGAATAGCGTCATCAAGGCTATAAGGTTATCTTAAAATTTTTTAATAAAAACTTCAATATTTTATTATATCATCTTCTTCTACCAATTAATTTGAACAACTTTTGTTTAAAACATTTTTTTTTTTGCCTAATATTTTTTTGAAATATGTAAGGAAAACTTGATAATTTTTTAAATATTTAGCTTACGATATCTCGGTAACTATTTGTCGGAAGAAAAAGTTATTTTATTCTATTTGGTCTTAAAAATATGCTATTACAATAGTGCCCTAACTTTGTTAACTTATTGATTTTTCGAAATTTCAAAATCATCAAGTTAACAAAAGTTAGGGGACTGTTATAATAGTATATTCTTAAAACCAAATAGAGTAAAAAAGTCTAGCACCACTTTTTCTCCGACAAATATTTACCGAGATATCGTAAATTAAATATCGAGAAAGTTATCAAGTTTTCTTTAAATATTTCGAAAAATATTTGACAAAAATATGTTTCAAACAAAAGTTGTTTAAATTAAATAGTAGAAAAAGATGATATAATAAAAAATAGGGATTTCCATTAAAAAAAATTCAAAGTAACCTTCTCGTAAGCTTGATGACGCTGTTCATACTAATATTGCTACGTAGTGTGTCACTTAAAAGCCTGAAATTTTTGTATTTAACATTTCTTTCTATCTCATATATTTTCAAAGTTATTCAGGCGGCCTGTTTTAGGTGTCTCACCCAGTATATCCATACCCACGTGACGTGATATATGATTAGCTGACAATTAGCGGTTATCGATTGTTATTTATGCATATGAATCACCGAACAAAATTTCAGCAGAAAGAAATAGTGGATATCAGGATGTTATCAGTGATATTGCATACTGCAATTGTGCGTTAGCTGTAAATATTTAATTGTAATACACCGAGACAAGAACGTCGGGAAGCAACAATGAACAGGATAATGTCCAATTGATTTATTCACGAATTAATGACCTACACGACATACCTTAAGCCTCTCCCGCAATGCGTCACGTTCCTCTATCAATCGTTCGACGTCCGCTCTGGCTGTATCCCGTTCTCGCTCCAGACGTTCGCGCATTGCCTAAGTAACCAAGTTGAGCTAAGTAAACCAAGTTGACGTAAGAAACAAAACGTACATGTGTGTGTCTCACTTGCAAATTGTAATATGCAAATTCTGTATGTATAAAAATATATGAGGCTCCAAGTACCTTCGTCGTGCTTACGTCTGCTGCAGCTGTCGGCGAGCTGGACGCGCAGGTACAAGCACGAACGGGCTTGCACAGGCTGCACGATCTGCAAGGGACGCATGTCTGTCTCTGCTGGCCCTTGTAAGCTCGCAGTCGTGTCTCCAAGTCCTCCTTCTCGTGGCACAAGTCCTCCTTTTCCCGTTGCATTTTGCTCAACGCTTGCTCCTTGTCGCCTAACTCGCGCTTCAACTCGCAGATCCGAGTCCATAGTTCAGTCTATGTTTCAACGAAAAAAGGGAAATATAGAGCTGTGATTCGTCGCACTTGATGATTTCTCTCAGATTTTATTCTCACGTTATCTTTTTCAGACACTTTGCGCTGCTCCTCGCGGTAATTGATGTATTCCTTCCTATAGTGATCCCGTTCCGCTTCCAATCGCTGAATCGACTGCTGCAGCTGTAAAGTTAACGTTACCTTGGCTCGTCGTAGACTTTATAAAACCGGTTGACTCTTAAATAAAGCCGACTTACAGACGCAATTTGTAGATCCGCTTCGTCGATCCGTCTTTGCACGTCGAGATTAGTCATGTCTTTCGTAACTTCCACGTCTTTAGCCATTGCCTGATGATCCACACCGTACTTCTCATCTCTGTGATTCTTGGAAGCTGAAAAGAGTAACAAGTATATTTCACTGCATTTTCCTCAATAAGATTTTCACACGATGTAGTCGTTCCTCCAAAATAATTGTTCTAAAAATTTTGCGCGTAATTTTAGCTTGCTGTTTTAGAAATCGGCCTTAGAAATTGCCTTTAATACCGATCGTTCTCCTCAATCGTTTTCATCCCTTTATTTTGGTCATTCTTTCCCCCTTTTTCTTCGCTCGCGCTCGATCATACCCTCTGTTATTTTGCACAATATTCGTCGTATATAAACGCTCCTTTAATATTTCATTAGCATATTGCAACTGAATGATACCTTGTATATAGCTTTCATTCTCTCTAGTCAATCTTCCTATCTCATGGTTTAAACTTTTCTCTGGAATATCATTTTAAGCTTTTCACTCTCTCGGCAAGGGTGACCAAAACTGTTAAGAGAAAGGAGAGATCGAAATAGAAAGATCTCGACGTACCAATGATCGTTAGTTGATTAATCCTGTCGGTCATTTGTTTCTTCTCGTCTAACGTGGATTCTAAGGTGCGTTGAATGTTACGTTTCTCAAGCCTGCATGCTTCTAGATCCGCCCTCAATTCCTGCACCTCCCTACGCTCTACAGTCAACTCGCGCTCTAAGACATGCACTTGCGTCATGACATCCTCTAATTTTTCCTACACAAGCGTCGTAAGAACAAACGCGTGAACAAATAACTCGCTTTGTGAAAGCGCGTGTGAGTTGTAATTATTACAATTGCGATTGTTCATACCTGAAGCCTGCAGACTCTCCTGTTGTTCTCTTTCACCGCAGAGTTGCAGTCAGCCTCTACAGCTAACGCAACGTGATCTATATCTCTCAATTCTTTCTCTAGCTCTTCATTTCGCGCTGCTAGCTTCATCGCCTGAGACATAGCATCATGTTGTTTATTTAGAGCTTCTGCATCATTCAAGAAAGATTGAAGGCATGAAATTGGATGTTCTGGTGAGAATTTAAGAATCGCAAATGCACGTCGCGAGGATTTCTCTGCTCTACTTCCTCACCTTTCAGCTGCTGCTCCAACTCCAATTTCGCTTGCTGAAAGACTCGCATTTGACTAGTTTCCACGACATCGTGCGTAGCGCCAGCTTTCTTCTCCAGCTTTTTGCAGACGCAATCCTTGCTAACAGCGGTGTAGGGACGACCACCCTCCAACATTTTTCTTAACCGACTTATTTCTTTCTCTTTTGCAGTTAACTGTAAGATAATTACCTTTTAACGAAGCAGTAATTAGCCCTCGCGATATCAAGAGTAACGTTACTTTTGCTTCAACAATTGATAGCAGCATGTTCTAATATTCCCTCACAAGAGACGCCCAATTAATGCATGCACATCTAGATATTAATGCTTAATATACCTCTTTCTCAAGGGTCTCTACTGTGTCAGTCTGCAGTAATAGCTCCCCTCTTAATTTCGTTACCTCATGATTCAAGCAGCTTATTTTGTGATCTGCCATGCTTATCATATCTATTACCTTCGGTTCCACATTGCTCAATTTTGGTAACGCAACACTACTCTTTGCTCTCGGCATTGGCTCAGACTCTAACACTGATCTTCGAAGAGGAAAACTGGAGCGCTTCTTAGCGGCTGTAAAAATTTTATTCAAGTTAGTGTTGCTTCAGTATGAATACTTCAATGTGACAAATTATATCAATCACCTAGTCCAACATTAATGATAGTCGGCTTTGAGCATTTGCCTTGCAGTTCCAATATCTTCTTAGATTTTGCAGCTGACTCGCTCTCCAGCTCCTTTATCTTATGTATGTTGCGTGAAGATGCCAATTGCAGATCATTGCACTCGCATTCCAATTTGTGTATCTGCTTCTTAAGCTCCTTGACTTGTTTCTGATGTGTTTCCTTAGCCTCTATCAGATCTGCATGAAGCTGGTTACATTCCCTCACTAATCTTGCATTGTCACATTTGTAAGGATCAACTGTCAATTGCAATTGACTACATGCCTGTATATAAAATACAATGTCATCGTTAAATTATGAAGCATAACATTGAAAATAATTGTTTGCAGTCATTATTCATTAATGAAATGACTGCTTAAAATCATCTCATGTTTGAAACTTGCATGAAGTCGGACAATGAAACCAACTTCAAGCGTTGTCCAGATTCTCAAGCTTAGTAGAAACTTTGAACAATCTCAGAGTGTTAAACAGTATTATCATTACCACAGCTTACCTCGACGTTCTCCTGAGCAATAGCTTTAAAATGCTTGAGACTGTCAGTAGTTTGAATAAGATCGGCCAATAGAGTCTCTATCAGAGGCAAAGCGTCTAATGACAATGCTTGCTTGTATCCCAAGTTATCCAGATGTTTCCTGACCGCTCTGTACCTAGCAGCAACGTTATATTCTGTCTCCTCACTCATCTTGGCAAGATATGAAGAATTGACACAACAGTATTCAATTTGTGCGTTAACTATTGCACAAGAAGTCCGATCACAGCATTGTTTATTGGCAGCAGCGAGGCATTAACCTCCTTGCCCCATTGTTGTTATGTCTAACACATCATGCGCATGGCAAATAATATAATATACAATGAACGCCATGGATCATTGTTAGAACGACACAGAAAATATCGGCACTGTCATAGGAATGATGTTAGAAACATGATGTGAAAATGTTGCAACGGACAACAATCGAGTGTTCCATAAGCGATGATTCGAAAACAACGAAATCTGGCCCTCACGAGTTTTCGAGTCGCGTGCGACTCAACAACCATGTACTTTGCTGAGAAAAGCACGCAGAAGAATTTATTTACTCGCGTTCCGATCCGCGCTGGAAGACGAATCTGACGTTCGCACGGCGGACTGCCGTTTTAACGGAGTTCAAAATCGTCGCCAACTTGGGTGTTCTACCGGTGATTTGCATCAGATGACCAACCTCGGGACTCGATTCACTATATCCTAGGGTGGGACGTATCGTCTTTGCCCGTGGGTGTCACGTGTTACCTGCGCCGCAATGGCCGGCACCTTTGTCGGCGTGCGGTGAGGAAAATCCGAACAAACCGAAACTTATTTTTTCAACAAAATGTGCAAAAGAACGCGTCGCGATGCGGTGACGCGTGCGGTGCGGCGTGATTCCTGCTTATCGATATAGACGCGCACAGTGCGAACAATCGACCGCCGCTCGTCGATTAATTCGCGGCGAAGTTGCGATCGGCGTATGTTAATTTTAACCGCGACGAATATCGCTGTTTATTTTGTTTCGCAGGCCGATGTTTAATGTCAATGTTAACCCGCGCGGAAGATCATGAAGGTGAGGCGGCCGATGTCGCCAACGGATTGTCATTATTGCGCGCGGCCGGCGACGTGCTCGCTCGTCCACCTTTGAAATAATCCGCGACGGAGCGAGGAGCGAGCCGCGGCGAAGGAGAGGTTCTCGACGTTGGACACGGTTCTCGCGATTTCCCGAAATGAGCGCGAATTTGGCCTCCGATCCGAGAAAGATCCTCTCGTTGATCGAGCAGCTCTGCGATCTGTCGCACACGGAGATACAACAGCGGCTCAACAGATACGTACGTATGTACATAATTGCGCATTCTCGATCGTGCGATTTTTGAACGATCGGGCCACGGGACCGAATCGTCGCGTCAATTGGCCAATGGTGACGCGATATCGAATAATCACGGTCGTCTGCTAACCGGCGGATCACCGGCTGACCGTGTCCTCTTTTCTGTTTTCGCAACAACACACGCTGATTGCGTAATGCGGTGTATTTAATTTCCGTGCTTTATCCGTTTTCTTGTTATATTAATCCAATTTTCTCTCTTGCAGGTGCAGAATGAGACGAATGCGAAAGTGGTGTTTCTTATATCAATACCGTTCGAGTCGGAGGAGATGGTTATTTATGTGATAGGTGAAGAAATTTTGGATAGACAATTGAGATTTCCTGTAAGTTTTTTGTGTCTCTGCAGAGATAAGCGACCGGGCACGTTTTTATCGGATATAGTTAAGTGAATTTAATTAAAGAATTGTAAAGGTGTTCGGCAATGATTAAGAAAATACCAATTTATCTTGTGTTGTTTGTGTATAGTTTGCACTCTTGTAGAAGAAAGGTTACTAATTATACTTGTTATTATCAGTATACAACCATCATTCAGAAAACTTAACAAGTACTTTAAACTGCCTGCTTGTAGCCACTTCTACGGCAAATTAAACATCTAATTCTTTATCGTCACTCTATCGGTGATATCAGATAGTGAGATAACATTATCCTTATGAATTTTTGCATGAGAGACACTTGACATAATTTTTGTATGATATCTTTACTATTAAGAACAATTCCATGTATCTACTTGTGAAAACAATATAGTATATTTATGTATTTTATATAATTTTTACAAATGAGTACACTTCAATAAGTAAAGCATTAAGAATATTATAAAGCATGAAAATGAATTTTATTACAGATAAAGAACAATGTTTTATATGAGGCTGTGACAAGTATGACAACATTAGTCACAAGTGTTGAAAAACTTGATCAGGACTTGCTAAGATATATCAATAGAATAGCCAACACATCAAGTTCCTGTCTTTCTCTTTTGACAATTCCGATACAACACCCTTTTAAGAATTATACAGCCTTGCTTGTATGCCTTGTAAACCGTATGAATTGTACAGAATATATGGATGGGGATGAATCTGATCATGCTTGTATAGAGATAGTTCAGGAGTGCTTTAGGTAATTAATGTGTGTAACATACATGTTGGGATGTAATTATTCTAATGTCAAACATATTTTAAATGTAATTCCACAGATTTTGCCTTGGATATATATTGAGCTCCTTGCGTTACTTTGAGGAAATTCGCGAGAAGCAGCAATGCCAGAATTTGCTAGCTGTTTCCAGAAAACTTTACACGCATTTGGGTATGGTGATTAGTTGTTCAACTGTAATGATCAACTTGCAATTAGCTCTTAATCGTCTTTTCGTACACTCATGTAGGAGACTTAACTGATCTTCTACGAGAGATTATGGCAGAAGTCAGAAAACTGACAAACGCGGAGAGATGTTCCTTGTTTCTATTAGATCCTGACCAACAAGATTTGGTCGCTAAAGTGTTCGATGGTCTTTCCACAAAAGAAGTAGGTAATATGCATGTTAATTCCAAGAATTAATCTAACTAGAGGCCTTGACATTTTACAAATAACTACATTTCCTCCAAATGTTTCCAGAATGCAAATGAAATGAGGATACCTATCGGGCAAGGTATAGCTGGTCATGTTGCAACTAGCGGTAAATTACTCAATATTCGTGATGCATATAATCATCCCCTCTTTTATCGTGGGGTCGACGAGTTAACAGGGTTTAGAACTAGAAACATTTTGTGTTTTCCAATACGAGATGAGAAGGGCATTATTGGTAAATTATTTAGAAAAACATCGTGCTTAAAATAAATGCACAGTATAAGAAAAAGATGAAAAGATGGTGTGACATCTTATTTGCTATATCTTAGGAGTGGCCCAACTGTGCAATAAGATGGATGGTTTATACTTCGATGTCTCCGACGAAGAGATCGCGACGGCGTTTAGTATCTATTGCGGTATATCGATAATGCATAGTATCGTTTATAAAAAAATGCAGGATGCTCAAGCTCGAAACAAACTCAGCAATGAGATCATGATGTATCATATGAAGGTAAATTTTAATTAACTTAAATTTTAATTAATCAGAAAGCTCCGATTGACGCATTTCAGTCGGACGTAAAATCATGCTAATTGTGCATTGTTGCATAATAATAAAAATTTTATTTCCAGGTGGAGGAATCAGCTGTGGAAGCTTTGCTAAACTGCAGGGACGATCACAGCATTAAAAATTTCGACGAGTTTCACTTCAATCCGAGGAATGTGCCGTACAAACACATACCGTGTTACGTTATCAGGATGATTACAGACTTGACTGCCTTTCAACAATGGAGAATTAAAATGTCCACGCTCGCAAGGTACATAGAAAATATATGTCGAAGTGACGCACGCCTTGCTATTTCTTGTAACATTTAAATTATCGATCAAAAAATTATCGATAAACAATTATATTTCCCAGGTTTATACTATATGTCAAGAAAGGTTACAGAGACGCACCTTATCACAATTGGATACACGCATTCTCCGTGACGCACTTCGGGTATCTGTTGATAAAAAATATGCAGCTTGTCGACAAGAACTATATGACACCTCTGCACGCTCTGGTATTCCTTGTGTCGTGCCTATGCCACGATATTGACCACAGAGGAACTAATAATACCTTTCAGACCAAGTTGGGAACTGTATTGGCAAGCCTTTACAGCTCGGAAGGCTCTGTTATGGAGGTGAGATGTGAATGTTATCGCTCGAAATAGCTGAAACGATTTCATGGCCATTGATCGGATCGATTTTCCGTTATATAACAGAGACATCATCTCGCGCAAACAATGTGCATCTTAAACACCGAAGGCTGCAATATATTTGAGAGTTTCGATAGCGACGAGTACAGCGAAGTCCTGGACTTGCTGAGGAACAATATACTCGCCACCGACTTGGCTTCTCACTTTCGTAGCAGACAAAGGCAAGAGCAGATGATTCGCGATGGATATAATAAGGATGACCCAAGGCATCGGAAGCTGTTGTTTGAATTGTTCATGACTTGCTGCGACCTTAGCGATCAAACCAAAGACTGGAGAGTTGTGAAGAAGACCGCGGTAAGTTCTGCTCGCAGACGGTCGCTTTACGATACGGTTAATATCGACATTAATCATAAGTGACTTTTATTGTTATATATTTTTTTTTATTGTACAACAGGAACAAATATACGACGAGTTCTTTACACAAGGCGATATAGAGAAAAGCATGGGCAGTGCGCCTGTTGAAATGATGGACAGGGAACGTGCGTCTATTCCCGATCTTCAGATAGAATTCATTACTAACTTGGTCATACCCATTTTTACGTAAGTATAATCGTCAATCGGAACGTTGGACTATTAACATTTTTACACCGATAATATTATTTGATTTTCAAGTAATCTGTCGCTGTTGTTCTCGTCGACGGCACCCCTCGTCTCTATGATAGAACGCAATCGTTCGTTGTGGGAAGTCGCTAAGGACTTGTTTCAAAAATACTATAAAAATGGTATGAAAGGAATAGATATTTTACTTGATCCCAACTTCGAAGATGAGGTACTCGCAACACTTACTTCGGAAAGACACTGTTCCGCCAGCAATTTTGATGAATGCAAATCATAGAGTGGATACGTGAAATAACGTTGGAGAGGAAGCTCCTTCCGGATTATGTCCGGAATACATCCGGTGGATATCTACTGATATCCACAATTTGGAAGATGCATATAGCAGATACAATATGGAGTAATACCAATTGTTCAACTGGCGTTTTGTTCATAACATAATGTGATAAATTTAATTTTTTGCAGTTACAACTTAAAGAGAAAAACAATTTTAAGATTTGATCCATTTTTACATGGAGATACTTAAGCGTAAGGAATAAATTTATCGAAAATCAAAATGTGATTTTAAAAGCAATCAACTAGTTGCATTTATAATATAGAGGTAGACGTAGATCATTTTTACTTGGACAATTCGGGGAAAAAGTGAGGCAGTTATAAAATATATTTTGTGCACTGCCGATTTAAATTACTTTTGCACGTTGCATATCACCGTTGAATAAGTATGAACACACTTTAAGGGTATTTTGGCACTTTATTTCTCACTGCTGATATTTATAACTAATAATTTATGCGTATGCACCTAGTAACTTTTGCAAAGAACTCTTGTCTTTACTTCCCTGGTGAAGATATACATCTAATGATAACAAATTAAATGTGATATAAATAAAAAAGGTGCTGTTTACACAATTTGAAATGTATATAAAACTAATTAGCATTTATAAAGGATATGTACTAATAAAACATATGTGATAATATATTCGTTGTTTCCAGTTGGACTTTCTGTTCCGGCTGCAGGAATGTATACTAAAGTGTTTCTTTTTGTCGAATTATATCACGTAAACGAGAAATTATACGTAAATGATATATCATTTAGAAGTTCGAGATTTCTTTTAATCTGCAGGTTCTCCAGTATGATACTTTTATAAAATTATTTATTATTGAAGGAAAAACCGATTTAGCTTCGTGATACATTAAGAAGGGGCATACACTTAGGGGCATGAGAAATAGCTCTATTTTCAAGAATTTGCTTCCTGGACAGTATTAGAAGTATTAAAGCAGAATTTGGTATATTATTTATACTTTCATTAAAAAAATGTCCAAGGCGCATTCCAAAATATCGTATAAGATAACAGATCTGTTGGCGTTAAAAATGGCCGCTGCTGGCCCGTTTGGCGGTATCCACGTCTTATATAGTTCATTTGAAGCACACAAACAAAAAATTCTTAGATATATATTAAAATCTAGTTTTTGTTATAACCGATATTTAAAACTCACGTCACAAAGTTCTGTTTATCTGATTTTAAAATTGCGATTTTTTACCAAAATCCGATCTTCGTATGGTTTATTTTAAAATGAGGCGAAAGCTATAAAAATAAAACGATAAAAACTGTATAACCTGCGAGAAACAATTCAATATATTTTAAATATGGAATCATATTATAACAATAAACTTACTTTACACAACGTATCGATGTATTATCGACAGAGTAGAAAAGATCCATGAGGCCTAGGAGAACATTATTCTAAAGATTTGTGAAAAGAAAAAGAATCTTCCAGAAGATTTGTGAAAAGAAAATATTGATCTTCTAGAGTTTTCATACAGTCTGATGTGCCATCAAGTAATATTAACCGTCCTCTGAAATTTCTCGCCTCCACCAGTCTCGTTAACTCGATAGCGATTAGCGATCCGTATGAATATCCAATTATTATAAATTCTGTAGAATCCTCCATCTTTTTGATATTATATGATACATTTTACTAATTTCTTAATCGAAGTGACACAATTCCAATCTAATGAAATGGAATCACTGAAATATCGAAAAGGCTACTTCCCTGCTACATTAATACATACAGATAACAGACTGACAGCCGACTGCAGCACAGATTCACTCGTGGGGATATTATTTGCTCCGCATTTTGAATTTGTTCCTACATCAAGTTTTCCAAAAGTAACGGACCCCCACCCTTATCTAAAAATCTATGCATTATAGGGAAAAATGACCCGAACAAAAGGTTTAGCGTTCATAAAGTTCTATTTTCTTGTGACCTCAAATTTGACCTTGACTTTTTTTTTTTATAACAGTAGGGAAATCTTCATGGATACCTCCGTCCCTTGGAGGGGGCAGGGGTTATGCCGGACTCTTACTGGCTAAAACTCCACCGGGGTGTCTACCTTTCGGACCGGTGTGGGGGGAGTCAGGGGAACTATTCCCGTATTCCCTCCTCGGCCCCAGAGCCCATGCAAAGAGCCCCCACGCCTGAGTACCGCGCCTCCTCCCACAAAAGGAGTCGGGAGCGCGGTCCCCCGGCCGGTTGCCCGGTTCTACTTACTGGAGGGAGGGGACACGCACCCTCCCTCCTAGCCCCCTTGTTCGTCAAGGGGGCGGGGGAGTGGGGCCCGTCCCCAAACGGGCCACCACTCCCCCTTTACCGATCCCTACTGACACTCGGGAGAAGGCGGGTAGGTTTCACACCCGTCGCCCCCCCCCCCCACCGCACGTTCGAAGGCAGGCCCAAGGCAGCCGAGGAGGCCTCCGACGAATCGGTGGCGGCTCCTCGGCCGGCGCCACCTCGGGCCCGCTATCCATTCCAGGGGAGCGCCGCCTTCGCCGCCGCTCCCTGCGACAGTTGCTAAGACGACGGCTCTCACTCGGCGGCCTCTTTCTTGGACATAACAGTTCTTGCAGAAGGAGGCCGCCGCCCTGTACACCTCCTCGCTCCCGCACATAGCACGAACCATGCGCGGAAGCGAGAGGTCCTCCACGCGGCACTCCACCGTTCAGGCCAGGACACGGCGCTGCTGGTTGCATGTTACCAGCGTATGTTGCGCCGTGTTCTGAGGCTTCGGGTAGTGTTGACTGGTGGTGGGCTCCTTCCCAATGTGGCACAGGTACTTCCCGAAACACCCATGTCCGGTCAGCACCTGCACCAGATGGAAGGTTAATCCCCGTCCCCGCCTGTCTGTCACCTCGGACAGACAGGGGGGACGGCCTCGGCCATTTGAATCCTCGGAGGTCGGCCAACATGGCCGACCACCGTTCCAGGACCAAGGCTCTGGCCTGTGACTTCAGAGCCGCCAGGCCCCTGGCCGTTGTTCCCTCCCCTTCCTCGCGGAGCTCCCGCACTCTCCAATAGAGAGTATACCTCTCTTGTGCAAGGAGCTCCACGGGAGGGGGGGGACCGGCCAGGGTAGTCGCCGCCATGTATGATACGATGCCGTACCCTCTGATCGTCCTCACCACCACTGACCGCATGGCCTGGCGCATTAGGCGCTTACTGCAATCGGTGGCTAAGAGTTGGGGCGCCCATATGGGCACCCCATAGAGGGCGATCGAGAGCACGACACCTATATACAGGCGGCGAGCCCGCCATCCTGGGCCTCCCTGGGTCCGCATCAGGTTGGCAAGAGCCAAACCCGTCTTGCGGACCCGGAGGACCAGGTGCCTGAAGTGCGGCCCGAAGTCCCAGCGGCCGTCCAACGTCAGGCCCAGATACTTGATCGTGGGCCCGACGTGGGCGGGGACTCCATCCACCAGGACCTGAGACTCCGGCGGCGCCCCACAACTGCCGTCATGGAAGTATATGGCTTCCATTTTTTGGAGCGCCACCTTCAGTCCCAGGCCCTTGATGGTGCCCACCACCGATTTGACCTTGACCTTTTTTTTTTAACTGTGGGGAAATCCATGGATACTCCCGCCCCTTGGGGGGGGAGGGGCGAGGGTTATGCCAGACTCCTACCGGCTAAAACCCCACTGGGGTGTCTACTTTTCGGACCGTGGTGGGGGGAGTCAGGGGAACTACTCCCGTATTCCCTACCCGACACCCCGGCCCCAGGGTTCATACTAGGAGGCCCCCCTATGTACCGCGCCCCCTCCCACAATAGGGCGCGGTCCCCAGCCGGTTGCCCGGCCGGGTTGGCCTTCTGGTTTCACCACCTTATTGGAGGGAGGGTACACCCACCTTCCCTCCGCGCCCCCCTTGTTCATCAAGGGGGGCGATGGAGTGGAGCCCGGCCCCAATCAGGCTTCCACTCTCCCTTCGCCTACCCCTACCGACGCCTGAGGGAAAGCGGGTGGGCTTCACGCAACCGTCACCCCCCTTCCCCCCACACATCCGAAGGCGGGCCCGAGGCGGCCTCCGGCGAGCCGGTGGCCGCTCCTTCTCGGCCGGCGCCACCTCGGGCCCGCTGCCCGTACCGGGGAAGCGCCGCCGTCGTCGCCGCCGCTCCCTGCAGCGGATACGAGGGCGGCATTCCCACTCGGCGGCCTCCTTCCGTGACATCACGTCGCGGCAGAAAGAGGCCGCCGCCTCCCATGCCTCCTCACTCTTGCACATAGCGCTAATCATGCACAGAAGCGAGCCAAAAAATATTTTAGACAACAGTTGTTCAAATTAATTGATAGAAAAGACAGTGTAATAAAGAATAGGAGTTCCCATTTAAAAATCGCAAGTTGATCTTCAAATGACTTTCAAGGTCAAGGTCAAAGTCAAATTTGAGGTCACAAAAAGCAGAACTTTATGAACCCTAGAACTTTTGTTCGGGTCATTTTTGCCTATAATGCATAGATCCTGAGATAGGAAGGAGGAGTCCGTTAATTTTGGAAAACTTGGTGTAACAATAATGACGGTTCTTATATTATATTATTCTACCTGTTAGAGCACATCGCCATTACTCTCCGTCCAGAACCATCATAACCGACGAGTTCGAAGCCTAAGAAAGAATCGATATCTCGTCCAATGTTTTGAGAACTTTCCGGCGCAAGTTTTCTAGTTGCTATCATAATATCTTTGAAATTCAGTGTTTCATAAATTGTATGTATGATATTTTCGCACTTCAGTTTAGGAAATATCTGTCCTTCGCAACCCATCGCAACGTGCTCATATCACTTCGAATCTAACAGAAATTAAGTTCACTATATAATTTCTATTATTAATACTATTGTTATTAGATGCTTTAATAATTCTTTAATTAATTCTCGCTGTTGACTAAAAGAGGTCCATAGTTGTGCTATTTCAACATAGCCGAAAGTTGGTGTATATGAAAGTACTGTCAATAGGGTTTAATAATCAGTGTGTGACATTAGATCGGAGTGCGAAAAACACAATTTTTTATTGCACTGAAATGTCGGGTTTTATACCAAAAAAAAAAGCATTTGCAGAAAACATTACTTTTCTGCTTTTATTTCAAGAAATCTGCTGCTGAAAGTCATCGTTCGCTAGTGGAAGCTTATGGGGAGGATGCTCTATCTGCAGACAACAACTTGCAGAGATTAGTTTAGACGATTCAAAGACAACGATTTCGACGTGAATGACAAAGAGCGCCCTGGTCAGCCACTGGAAAAGTTTGAAAATGGAAAATTGGAGGCATTACTGGAAGAAGATTCATGTCAGATGCTCAAAGAGTTGTCCGAAACATTAAATGTCGATGAGTCAGCGTTAGCAAACGTTTAAAAGCAATGGGAATGATCCTAAGAAGCTAAGAAACTGGGTCCCACATAAATTGAGAGAAAGAGACATTGCGAAACGTTTAATCATTTGTAAATTGCTGCTTCAAAGACAAAAACGGAAGTCGTTTTTGCATCAAATTGTGATTGGTGATGAAAAATGGATTCGTTACGACAATTCTAAGCGCAGGAAATCATGGGTGCGTCCCGGCGAACCATCAACATCAATGCCACATCAGGATATTCATGGAAAGAAGATCATGCTATGTATTTGGTGGGATCAAATCGGTGCAGTGTATTATGAGCTGCTGCAACCGAGTCAAATCATTAACCCTTTCAGGCACGTATTTTGCAGAAG